GGTTGCCAGCAAGAGGTACAGGACATCATCTGAAGCTGCGGCTGTGCAATGCGGAATATTAATACGTGTCTTGCAGGAAAATCATATGTGACAAAGAAGCTTGCCAGATATCTTAATTGGTATGAATGCGCTGCAACCTCTTGCATACGACGTTTGCTGATTCGCTTTGATCCACAGGTTGCAACACGACACCAAGATTTTCAACGTCGGTAACCGTCGAAGAGTGGCCGCTGGTGCCCTGGATAGTATCCCCGTCGAAAATAACCACCAGCATGGTGTCGACACACCCCAGAAGGCCAAGAGACTCTCCGGCACGGGCGCCCTCCTAGATTCACCGGTCATCGCAGAAGGCTCTGCTCCACCTCGTAACAACTCTCACAAACGGACGCAGTCTGGCGGCATCGAGGGAGGCATTGACCAGTCGGCCGCTTTCTTCGACCCTAGTAACGAAGCTGCAGCTGAGCTGCGTGAGAAGGTTGCGTTGGAAACTTTGGACGAACTCCTCGATTACGTGTTGTACGAAGGAGGTTCCGTTGGAATTCTCGATGCCACAAACTCTACCCTCCGAAGGAGAAAAGCTGTTTTGGATCGTATTCGTCAAGTAGCTGGTAACCAAATCGGTGTTGTATTTTTGGAGAGCGAATGCCATGATGAAAAATTGCTCGAAACCAACATGAAGCTTAAGCTCCAGGGACCCGATTATAAGGATTGCGACCCTGTCCAGGCACTTGCCGACTTTAAGAAGCGAGGTATGTACGTTATTTTAGGTCGTGTGCGGGGAGGATTAGCGAATGGGTTGGGATAAGAATTAGACTGACGTGCGGGAACTAGTGAAAATGTACGAGAAGAGCTACGTCTCCCTCGGGGAATATGAGGAGAAACTCGGGATGCAGTTTATTAAGGTGTGTTTTGGCGTCCCCCGCTCCCGAGGTACCACGCGACATCATATCCGCTCATCCGAATATATACCACCTCCTTTTGCATGTGGTGGTCATCACAAAGCTTGCAAAGCCTTGTACAACTCGTATTTGTTGATTACAGTTTGTGAAACTCAAATTGCTGACACAATAATGTCTCACAATAGATGATCGATGTCGGTCGTAAAGTAGTCACGCATCAAATCCGTGGTTTCTTAGCTGCTCAAACCGTCTACTTCTTGTTGAACTTTCACCTTTCACCTCGTCAGATTTGGATCACCCGCCACGGTGAATCCCTCGATAACGTCGCCGGTAAAATTGGTGGCGATGCTTCCTTATCTGAGAATGGTGTTCGCTATGCAAAGGCCTTGACTCATTTCATCGCCTATCAGAAGAAACGTTTCCACGAGCGTCAAATCCAGAAGCACAACACTTCTCACATGCCGCCTCATCCCGGTGACACAACACCTCCCAACCCGGAGTACTCGGACTGCTGTCGCCAGGACGGAGAGGGAAGACCATTGGAAAAGAACTTTTGTGTCTGGACTTCTATGTTGAAGAGAAGCATTGATACTGCTGCTTACTTTGACGAAGAGGAATATGACGTCAAGCAGATGCGTATGCTTAACGAGCTTAACGCTGGAGTTGCTGAAGGAATGACGTACGATGAAATCCGGGCCAAGTGGCCGGAAGAGTTCCAGCAGAGGAGAGCGGATAAGCTTAGATACCGCTACCCTGGAGCTGGTGGCGAGAGTTACCTTGATGTTATTAACCGCTTGAGGGCTGTTATTGTTGAGGTGGAGCGCATGCAGGACCATGTCCTTTTGGTTGCGCATAGAGTTGTTGCTAGAGGTATGTATTTATCCTTCCTATCAGGAAGATAGAAAGAATGGTAACTAACAACCATTACAGTCTTGCTGGCATACTTCTTGGGCCTACAACGAGAGGATGTAGCATCATTAGATGTTCCCTTGGGAACTCTTTACATGTTAGAACCTAAACCGTATGGTGTTGAGTTCAGAGCTTACCAGTATAATCCGAAAACCGAATGGTTTGATTACCTTGAGAACTTTCAGTTGAAGAGTGATCAGCAGAAGGATGTAAAGATTTCTAGATAAATCTTTGGGGGTTTAGATTTGGTGTCTCTTTTTTTTTCTCTTCTCTTTTCTTTTTTCTTTTTTTTTTTTCTTCCTCTTTTTCTTTTTCTTTTTTCTTATTGTGTCCTTTGCAAGTTTAGTGGGCGGTTACTTTTGCTGGTTATATTTTTTTTCCTTTTTCTTTTCGTGCTTTTTAGTCGGCGTTGGTGTGTTTTTCTTTTTCTTTTTCTTTTTTCTTTGCAACTTTTTTCTGGCGATCGGGAGGAGGAGGAGGGTTCAGTGCACTGCAGTGTAGTGTAGTATATTCTACACTCTACAGATCAGATGCACTAGATTGTTTATCATGGATCCGGGGAACTACAGATGGAAGAGTAATTTTCACTACTCATTTTATATATCGCTACCTCCTTTTTTTTTTTTTTTTTTTTTTTTACAAAGAACAATTTTTTTTTATCGTTTTTGAAATACATGGGACTGGTTGTTTGATGAGTTGCTTTTTTTTTGTGTGTGAGAGTGGTTGTGGTTGTGTAGGAGTTGCGGTTGTGTGTGTGAGTTGCTTTTGTGTATGAGTTGCTTTTGTGTGTGTTGATTTTGCGGTGTATGAGTCTGATGATGGAAATAATATAAGAACGATTCAAGCTTACGGGTTACGCTTTCTTTTTTTTTTGTGTAAGTAGTTGATTAGTAGTTGGTAGATGAGAATTGGATTTTTTTTTTTACTTTCGATTGTTAAATCACAGTCTACAGTCTACAGTCTACATATAGATAATATTTCTTTTTTTTTGATAAACTAGTCTTCATGTGCAAAAAAAGACGATGAGAAGAAAGAAATAATAGATATTGTAAGATGCTGTGGATAATCTATATATCTGCTTATGTATGTAGATGGAATTGATAAAAAGATGGAATTGATAAAAGATGGAATTGATAAAAGATGGAATTGATAAAACCGGAAAAAAAGAAAAAGAAAAAGAAAAAGAAGAAAGAAAAAGAAAAAGAAAAAGAAAAAGAAGAAAGAAAAAGAATCATGAAATCATGAAACTCAGAAACTCAGAAACCGGCAAAACCACTTCGCATCCCTTCGCATCACCTCAAATCACTTCAAATCACAGAGCATCACAGAGCATCACTCCAATATATCAAATATATCAAGACCAGCACGAGTGCGGAATTATGATTGGGTTGGTGTACTTACTGGGGTTTGGGAATTGGATTTTGGACTGGGGATTTGGGGTTTAGGAGTTGTATTGCGGTAACGGGAGTTTATAGGAACCTTATAAGTTGGTAAGTAATTAAAAGGATACCTTTGAGGAGCTGGGAATAGTGGGATGCTTGGATTGGTTGTTGAAGAAATATTTGAGATGTTGCTTTTTTTTTTTATTGATTTTTTTAGATCGGGGGGTTCGAAAGATTCGAAAGATTCGAAACTTTTCTTATATTCTATTTCGTTTCATTCAGAATTATTTACGGATCATAAACGTGGAATCTTATCGCAGTTGAAATATATTATGGCTTCCGGTTTATCGCAGCTGATATAATATAATCTCCCAGACACTCTCCTAACCCAATCTCCTAAAGCCTCTCCTAACCCAATCCCCCTCCTCTCCCAACTTAATCCCTCTCCTCTCCTAACCCTATTATTCACGGCGTCGGCATCATTATCCAGCTCCCCGTATCATTACATTTCCTTCAGGCTTCAGCAAAAAAAAAAAAAAATAAAAAAAAAATAAATAACAAAACCTTCCATGATGCTATCGACAATAACAACTAATCCTTCCAACTCAATAATTTCCCAAGTTCAAAGTTCCAAGTTCCAGTATCCAAAACCCAAAAAATCCAAAAAATCAGAAATCCACAACATACCTCCAAGTTACATCCATAACGACCAAAGAGCAAAGAGCAAAGAGCAAAGACCAAAGACCAAAGACCAAAGAGCAAAGAGCAAAGAGCAAAGACCAAAGAGCAAAGAGCAAAGAGCAAAGATCAAATACAGGGCTATAAACTACGCCTACAAGAATCAAAACCAGCAAGAAGAGAGGCGGCAAGTTGCAACTTGCAACTTGCAACAGGCCCAAAAAACGACGTGCACTCCAGAGCACCACGGATCCCAGCGAGATTCAAAGGTACAGTTAACAGCTACACAGATCCTCGAAATGAATTTAGATTGTACATAGCATATGTTTATAACCTTAAAATTGGGAATGGAATGTTTACGGAATTCGAATCGTATTGGGTCTTGATTCTTTAATGACCCAAAACAATTCAAGAAAAAAAGGGGAAAAAAAGATTGGGAAATGGGAAATGGGAAATAATTTGGGAAATGGGAAATGATACACCCATCTATCCAAGGCCACTATAAAGGTTTAGGCCGAAGTATTATTCGGTGAGCTTTTTGTGGGAAAGTTAATTTATTTATTTATTTATTGAATCATACGCTGACCGAGGCCTAAAAGGCCCATGCAGGAAAAAACAACAAAACACCCAATACCCGTCCTCGTGAAATTAACCACCTTATGAGGCCCGCCGATATCCTTTATCCCAGATATCCACCTGATTACGATACGAAAAACAAACAACAGAAAAAGAGACAACAGTGGGAAAGTTAATGTTAGCGGATGGGGTTTAGATGGAATTATCGGATTGTGTGTGGTTGTTATAGGTATCGTGATTCGTGGTAATGGGTTTGATGGGTTTGATGGGTTGGAATGAGGATTGTAGGTATGTAGATATGTAGATTTGTGGATATGTAGGTATGCAAGATAGATAGACCAGTATAAGGTAGAAGAAAAATGAAATGTTGAAACATATCATGTATTACATAATATATATCTCGAAAGTACATATACATATTCATAATCCAATACTCCACCTCATCCCCACCTCATGCCCACCTCATCCCACCTCATCCACCCCCATGCCATCAAAACCCACCCTCCCCACCCCATACCCATGCCATCAAAACCCCTTTCCACCGCCGACAAAAGCAGCTGATATGGCCGAGTGGTTAAGGCGGTGGACTTAAGTTTATCCCCTATACTTAAGATACCCACTATCGCAAGATTCAGGAGTTCGAACCTCCTTGTCAGCATCGAACTGTTAGTTCTAACTTACTTTAATTTTTTTTTTTGGGCGGGGGGTTGATGAGGGGTTGCGCTAGTGTATGCATACATACATGCATGTCATTACATGCAGGTATCATATCTCACATGTACATGTACATGGTACATGAGCCCATCATTTTCACCCCCATCCTCATCCTTATCCTCATCCTGCGTTTAAGCTTAAGCTTAAGCTCAGGTATTCAGCCGTTCATCTATTCTGTTAATCGCTTTTTCTTACCGCATCAATAACCATCACCGGATCAACTTTTTTTTTTTTTAAAAAAAGCATTCATAAGTTTATAACATAAACTAATTCATTATATATAATTCTTGGTATTCACAATCGTTTTCCATCGCATTCCAGACCCAAACTCATTACATAATTTGCAAAAAAGAAGACAGAGATATATATGCACACCCCTCATTCATAGTCCACGGGGATTCCATAACCCTTAACAAATAACCAATAGAACATAATCCATCCATTACACCCATCCACCCATGCATGCATCCATTACACCCATTAACGGAATTAATACTTCTGTTCAATTACATGAGGCCTAGCCGTCTCCGCCATATTCTCCGCATTCTTGTAACCCATTTGCGAGACATCATAACCATTAGCAGCGAGATATTCTCTAAAGAGTCTATCCTCCTTTATGATAGTATCCTGACCAATATGGGGTAGTAGGAAAGCAAGTCCAGCAGAAAACACACAAAGACACGAAGAGACCCAGAAGGGAGCTTGATTTCCGCTTACAGAGTCGCTTCCTCCGGAGTTTTTGATGATGATTGGGAAGACATAAGTTCCTACGAAAGCACCGACTTTTCCGATTGCAGCGGCGATTCCATAGTACTGGCCTCTAATTGGAGTAGCGGAAGTTTTGGAGGCTAGAAGACCGATGTTATTTCCGGGGCCTAGTTCTCCGAAGGATAGGAAGAGGCCGTAGACTACGACAAAGGCACCGATGTATTTTGAGGTAGCGAGTTGGCCGTAGAATCCGGCCATTAATAAACCGGTGATGGCTTGCAGGATCAGGCCGAGGATTAAGCAGTAGCGAGGTCCGATTTTGTCGGAGATGAAACATCCGATGAAACTTCCAGGGATGTAGAAAAGGTTCAGGACGACGTTCCAGCCGAAACCAACAACGAGGTCATCGCCACCGGCTACGTGGGAAATAATCGTCGCGGAGTAAATACCGGCGGAGTATACGGCGAACTATGGGTGGTTAGTTTAAGGTTGCCTATAGGGCTGGCCAAGAGGCCAAGAAACCGGGGTGAACTCACATCGTAGATGAACCAAATCGTACAGACGAGGAAAAGACGGAACCAGTAGTATTTGAAGCATAACCAGTAGGGAGTTTTGGTGTTTGCCATGGTATTCTTTTTGGTCTGCTCGGGCTCCTCAAGACGCATACGCAAGAAGAAGAGAGTGAATGGTGGAATGATTCCTAGACCGAGAGAAACACGCCACTACACCAACCATTAGTATTCCCATCTCTCCCTGAAATTCTCTACCCAAGATGAACTTACGTTAATCATCAAAGCATGTCTACTCTGTCCCAAAATCCACACAAAAACCAAGGGGACAAAAGCCGCCACGACAAAACCCACATCAATAGCAAAGTTCGTAAACAAAATAAACCACCTATTTCTAGTTCCACTTTTAACTTCACTTGTAGCCTCCGCCGCCGCAACACTTCCAGCGGGGTATTCTCCTCCGATACCAATTCCCAAGAAGAAACGACACACCACCAACATGGTGATTAATCCTTCTACACTACCCTTAGCTCCGTATGATGCAGTACATAGCGCTGCCATCAAGATCAAGATTCCAGCTGATACGGTCATAGCAAGCTTTCGTGTGTAACGATCAGCGATGTAACCGAACAGTAGTTGGCCTATGACGGTTCCGGCGAAGGCGATGGAGGAGACATTGCTGCGGGCTGAGGAGTTTTCGTATTCCTTTGGGTAGATGCGAGAGAGCATAACCGAGACTTGTCCGATAACCTAGAGGTAATAAAGTCAGCATTTCTGTTATTGGTAGACAGGTATCTGAAGCTTCCCCGAGGTGGGGGGGGGGGGGTGGGCTGCGAGTGCAATTTCCCTCGTTTCACAGAAGACGGAGGAGAGGTAAAGTTGCAAAGCGAAGCTTCATTATAGGACAACGGGGAAAGCTTACGGCGTTCAAGTATCCATCGGAGTAAAGACCAGCACCACAAGCAAACACAGGCCAAACACGTTCCCATTTACTTTTAGTACTCGGAAGCTCATCGGTATCGGGGTCGTCGGCCATGATCTGAGAGTTGATGGTGCTTGCAGGCTCGAGGGGAAAAGGATTCGGGGCCATGTTTGGGTAGTGATTTTTTTAACGGCACCGGAGCCTAATTGAATTATTAGTCGTATAAAGTGTTTCTCCACACACGGTTCCGGCCGATCTCTTTCTTCCACTGAATGAAATAAAAAATAAAAAAAAAAAAAGTTATCAACAAGTGGGGAATAAAAAGCTTAAATATATATAAACATTTCACCGATATTATGCAGGGATGATTCCCGCATTTCATATGTACATCCAAACCAGGTATGAACTCCGTCCGTATTTTTTTCTTACCAGGAGCGGTGTATGGTGGATCATACATCCATAGAAAAAAAGGGAAGTCCAGATCTTACGCATATTACCGATACCTTCTTACCCACCAGGCAAAGCACAGTAGTATGTAAAAAGAATAGACAGTTATTACAGCCCAGCTATTCATTAATGTTGTATTACCCACGTGCTGTAATTGCATCACCCAAAGGCTTACGCACAGAGCTTGTGATCACCAAATGAAGCGAACTGCTTATCTTTATGAACCGGTTAGAGGTGTCTGAGCTATGGAACCGGGCTAGACAGCTTTCGTCCCGGGTAAGAATCTCGGGTAAGCTACGTAACTAGAAGGTTAAGCTTTTCTTCGGAGATTCCCTAGTGGCATCTAGTTTGCGCAATTATCGGCGCTCTCTGGAGGCGATATGTTTTTTTTTTGTGATGACTTTTTATGGTTATCCATCCAATCAATATGCGTATCATATTCGCTGGGAGGCAATATTTCTTTTGAGAACTTTTTATGGTTTTATATGGTATCCAATCGATTTTCACCGGGAGGCAATATCACGTGCGGTATTGCGTACGATTGCCAACATAAGGCAGCTAGGAGCTGAAAAAAAGTCTCTAAATCTTAAGCAACTGTCGATGATCAGGGGAAGTTTTACGTTAAGAAAGTGTGGTAAAAAAAGACATTCCAACGTATGTATCAGCTATCCGACTAAACCGGAGAAACCGATAATGAGTGAGAAAGCGTGATGTGTTGACCGCGGTACGCAACCTGCTCGGGAACTAACCGATATACCGGGACTACAACGTGCTCGGGGAGTTCACCGTCCTACGCGGCCTCGGTCCTCTAATCCTCACGGCTTCTTCCTTCAACCTATCATGAACTCACCACGTTCTCAACTTCTCTGTACATACTTACTGCCTCATGAAAATCCTCACGCCATCACATCAGTTCGTAAAGTACACTACGCAAGTGAAAACTTAAACACTCAGACCATCGGGATCGCCTGGAACGCCCTACCCAAGCGGATAAGTAATCCTAAAATGTAATCTTCCTTTATTTGTCTAGGTATCATAAGCAGCTTCAAACACGCCCCTCCGGTTCCTAACTACACAGCAAAAGGACACCCACCCATCCCTCTAATCCTCTCCGCCTCCTTCTTAACCTTCTCATGCCCACTCTTCTCCAAAGTTGCCGGTCCAACCTCATGGATCTCATATCCCGTCTCCTTAAAACCCTGATCACCCGGTAACGGCCACCCTCCAATCCTCGCGATGATCCCCCAAGGACCCCACCTGTTCCAAAAGGTCGGCTCTTGATACCAAGGTTCATTATCCGAATGCTTCACATGATATCTTCCCGTCCTATTATTCCTCCTCTCATTGACAATAAGATACGGGACATATCTCGGTAGACATAACCACCTCAAAATAAACCTCCGTAACTCAATACCAGTCTTAACGAAACCCTTAATCAACTCAGTGGTGTCTCCGAACATCATTGCTGTTCGTAGTCTCTCATCCAAGAGGGCCAAAACAACCTGTTTTCCAAGCCATTTCGCACCTTCTGTAGGTACCCAGTAGAGTAGTAGGTCCATAGTTCTCTGTCCCACATAATTATTGGATTCAGCTGGAACCATATACTTCTTCTCAAACTCCTCATAAGCCGATACCATGTCCTCAAAGGTCTTCGGAATATCTTCTCTCGGGATTCCCATTCGAACACCAACTTCTATCCAATACTTTGCCGCAGCCACTTTTTCGATCGGGGTTGGTTTACGCCATTCTAGACGGGCAATAAATACCAATGGTTGAGTAGCGAAAAGTAGTAAAGTGTAGAGCGTATCTCTTGGAAGAATCGATGGGTAGAGTGAGTGGATGTAGTTCATTCCTGTGGTAAATGTGTAAGCCACACGTGCCTTTTCACTTCTTATCTCAACTTTCCAGCATCACAGATGTTGTCCCACCACACTGCGTCGGAGCCTTGAAGACTCGGAGTATTATGAACATAGACAACATCCGGAGCTTCGAAAAGATAAATCCAAAGAAAAAAAAAACAAGAAAAAAGAGAAAACAACATACTAGCAATCGCCAAACTAGATCTTTCCGAATCCAACGGCCAAGCGGTGAACTCAGCAATGAGGACGACAGTATCAGCATATCTCCTCCCAGCAAATTCCTTTTCAGCGAGCTGTTTAGTTTTCTTCAAAACCCCACTAATACTAGGAATAGCATAAGTTCTAAACAACGCAAACTGTAACGCCGTATTATAAATCTTCGGAAACTCATATCTTGCTAAAGTTCGATTAATCTTCTCTGCATCGGAGAGTGTGAGTTGTTCGTATAACTCGGCTTGAGAGAGTCGGGTGTATGCTGGGTTCAGTTGGTAGAAGGAGT